TTGTGCCCGTTGCCAATATTATCATGACGATGTCATGTATCACTCTCCTGGCGTCTTTCCAGCAATCAGTTAGACTCATGATATGATATGAGGAGCTTGTAGCTAAGTTAGACTGTTTAGGCTCTGTAGTTAGCCATTTTAGTAAGGGTATGTTTGATACGCATGGGCCGGATGTTATCATTACTCTGGGGTACACAATATCAAAATATCAAACCTCAATCTGGGCTTGGAATGGACGGGGGGGCTCTCTTCTTCCCTCACCTTGTCCTTACCCGCAACGGGCTCGGGATTCCCGAGGGCCGGTCCTTAAGGCGGTGCTCTACCATATTATATTGGGCCTTCCGCACCCACTCGTACGGTACCGGAGGTGCTCTGGGTACTGTAGTCCCCAGGAGTATTTTACTCTGGTTCCAATCCAATTCTGAATACCAAGGTCACAAACGGATGGCCGGTTTTTCTTATGCGGTTGTTTTCTTTTCTTTTTCTTTTTCTCCTTTGGTTGCCTTGCTTTAGAATTCAGAAGGCAGCTACATGTGCAGAAACTCCTTGTTTGAGCACGGTTAATTGATTGCAGAGTTATGGTGGACCGGATAGTCGAATGCAGGATTCTACCCCCCGTTCTCTTCTCCCAGTGTGACAAATCTCCCGGAATATTCAGAGACCAGGGGGGAGTGCGAGGGGATTAGTGGGGCATGGCCAAAATGTGTGATAGACCCTGTGTGAGTTTGGAAAGGTATGTTTTGGTTGGTATCCTCGTTTCTCTTCCTTTTTTGGTCCAAACCACCATGCTTTTTCTGGGCTGTATACCTCTTTAGGCTTGTAGATACCAGTGCTCTGCTCCAACAACCCTTACACGGCTTACTCACCCAGCTTGCCATGGGTGTTCGGGGGCGGAAATAAAATACCGGTATGGTACGGAAAGATTCTGGTCTATTATAAGTCGGAGTATTCCTCAGCGCAGCCCAAGCCACAACGCATCACACACCCCGCAACAGCTTCAAGCTTGCCACAGGGAACTCGCTGCCCCGATTCGTGTATTATAACGCCTGACTTAATATACCGCCCATTAAAATTCCTTATGATGTATTGGCCTTAATTTGTGGATATATGGGGCAAGGATTTGCAGAAAAGCGGTATAATCCACCTTGATTGCCATGAGCTGCACTGATTGGGAATGTCTCAATGCTCCATAGAGTGAGTGGATTCTGAAGAAATCGAAGAGGCATCGGGGCCCAAGTGGATGTAACGTATCGTACGTGACATCTCTTTGAAGTGCTGATATCACAAAAAAAATAAAAAAACTGCAAAAGGGTTAGAAAGCATCGCAGTGATATTGTTGGTGGCAATTATGGTGGCCGTGCATCGCCATCCTTGGTTTAGAGCTGAGGCCTCCCAGATAAACTACGCATGTGGAACGTTGGTGTTCCGGAATATCTTTATTGGCGCATATCGGACCCATCAAATCACTACCAGGTAGCTCCCGCACTTGTCACCGACTGAAGCCTCCCAACTCTAGACCGTGACTTGTTGAATGGCTGTCAGCCAGAGCGTGAAAAGTGATATTATAATGCCAGTGATCGAGAATCCAGGACTGGGTTTGGCCCGTTTTTGCTTCTTTTCTTTTCTGGTGCCGCTTCACATGCAATCTTCAGACCATTGTCATTGTCTGATGCTAGTGCCAGGTAAGATCTAGCTGAGTCCAAGGTTTGGTTGATTCGCTGATCAAGAAAGCAATTTGTGAGATGCCCAGACTACTGGAGCCTGGTGTGTGCGCCACAGAGACAATAATACTTCCGGTTTGCCTGTCGCCCACAGTCGGCAGAATAATCGGGTGTTCGGGGTACAGTACCATGGCCATGTAATCAGAGCATACTTCGAGCTCTCTCCCACAGTACTGGAAGAGACAAAAAAAGTAATTTATCGTGACATATCGGTCCGTCTTTTGAAGCCCATGCGCCGGTATTACCGAAGGAAACTGAAACATCCTATAGTTGTTTATTCGGGGACACCTCTTCCTGTCCGCATTTTAAAAGACGTTACAACAAGCGACGATGGAACATACCGCTTTTTCCCATGCATTGTTAAAGCGAGAGAGCCTTCTCTGTACCACAGAGTACTGTGTTCTAACTTATTATGATAGTGATTTACCGCTGCAAATCAGGTTTCATTTTTGGATCCAACCCCGATGTGTCTACCGTATCCACCCAAAGACCTATAAACCTCTAAGGTATGACTATTTTTTTCATCATGTAGGTTGTAGTTGGTGGGACCTTGCATATGCAATGGGGCAATTGGATCCCCAGGTTCTCGGGATGGGCCCAACCATATGGGCACTGGAGCGACCCTATTAGTAGCCTGTAAATTTAGATGTTTATTTAGGTTTACAGCAAATACCCCGATCTAAGGTCTTTGTCTGGTGGGAGGGTTGCTTTCTCACTGAGTCGTAGTAGTCCGACCTCCGTCAATATAAAAAGTACCTGTGAGAAGGTGGGAAGAAGCCGAAGGGGGTTGGTTGAATCATCCGGGATCTCATATGACTCGAACCAAAAAAAAAACCTTGTTCTTTCCCTCGCCTTACCCCATCTTCTCCCCACCCCCATCTTTTTCTGTCTCCCTTCTTTCCCGCCTGAATATCAAACCGAGGCTTGATAAAGAGCCGATATCTGAGAAGTGATAAACTCGCAGCCCCAAGACATATCCGGACCTCCTCTCGGAATACCTCCCATATTGCTCATACCAATACAGGTACGGTGCACTATCGGCAGTACTACTGAAGACATCGTCGATATTGAACCGAGCTCTCTAGACCAGACACCCTCGGACAACATAAAGGACCCACAGCCGAGGGGTGTATGATCATCAACTTGGCGGGACTTCTAGAGCGTTATTCTTCTCCCCACTCTTGTCGCTATCCTTCCCGTTCTCCGTCTTTCGCTTGATTGGAGTTGATTTGCCGGTTTGTAAACCCCCAAAGCTGGAACGGCCCACCTCCGAGGGGAGAGAAGGGGAAAAGAACGAAGTGTGTTCGATGAAGTGCATACCTCACACTTGCCGTTGCTGACTGGCTGCAACAGTTTATTTGCTCGAACGGATCTGCAAGTACTTCTTTTGTTTCTTTCGTTTGTTAGGAGCTTTTTGCTAGGGCCATACCTGCCAGACTCGGATCTCCGCCAGTAAACGCCTATAACGAGTCTTTTAATCTACTCATCATCCCAACCTGATACGACGACTTTGTCCGTGGTCTGAGAACTGGGGTGTTGCTAGAAAGGGTCTTGCCAAAAAGGTCTCGCCATTTTCATCTTTACTCTTTTTGATTTTTCCTTCTTTTCGTTTATTTCATTAATCGTTTTCGTACTCTTTGCTATTCAATGTTTCGCTCTTTGAATTACCCGTAGTAAGTCATGGTTCGTTGGTTGGTTTCGAACCCGACAAGGGTTTCCCTCTATTGTGGGTCTTGCTTCTTTTTTTTCCTCTTTTTTCTGCCCAGTGCATGGGTGGTTCTTGCCGGGGAAGCGAGATTCGTGGTCTCCCAAGTAGCTATTATTAGGGAGCTCGTTTCGTTTAATTATTTTGGATTGACGGGAGGGAAAATTGGTTGTGTCCGTGAACAACCAACAACCCTTTCGCTCACCATAAATCAACCATCGCAATTAACGGATAACGAGCGTACCGCGTCATGGAGCATCATCTGAGGTCTAGTTGCCCGAGCAACTGGGACACAGATATCCTTGGCAGTTCATCCATTTCAAGGTTGTAACCCTGCTCGGCATTCTAAAAGCGTGGCACATATCACATTTTCCGCTCTTTCCATCTCGGTTCTGCAGCTCAATTGACGAAAATTCCAAGGGCCACCCGAACCTTCGGTACCACCATTTTAAATTCAGGGGCCCGGTCTTTCCAAGGGCTTCTCTTGAATTGTGTATGGCGGCCCGGTGTGGTACTGTGCTCTTCAGGTGCCCCCGCGCGGGCTCTCCGAACAGGGCACAGTATCTCATTTATATCTGCAAACTAGCTTTCGCTTGTTCCGCCGACTTCAAACGACGGCAGGGTCAGAAACAAGGAACCCCGACAGCAATCTTTTGCTACGTTTGCAAGATATCGATTCCAGTTATACGCATATTTAAAGTGCGTTTTGGCAGATATATAGGTTGTGTTTCCAACAGAAAGAAAGACACAAGTCAGCGACGGAGCGCACCGTATCGTCAATGGCCTTTTTTTCACCTTAGTGCCAATATCGATAGTTATGTTTCTCAGACTGGTGTGCGGTAGCTCTCCTCGAGCTCCCTTTACGGCGCCTCTCTCCTCCACTCCTGTCTTTACATATAATAAGGACAGGAATGATCCTTGGATATGCTACTGTGGATCTCTTATTGTTATCGGAAAAATAAGCTCGGGCTTGTCGCTCTCCAAGAGCTTTTTCGCAATAACCTTTGTTATTCCATCCCCCCCCTTCTCTTCTGGAAGGTCACTTTTGCTTGCCTGTGATCGCCTCTCTTTTCTTATCAACCATTGTCCTGAGCATCCTTTTTGTCATTTCTCTTCCATCAATTATCCAGCCTTGAGACGTCAAGGAATAGTGCGCTGACGAAAGTGACGCTAGTTGCAGGCCGAACAAAGCTTATTTTCTGATGCGAAGAGGGCCAAGACTGCGACGTATAAGAAGTCAGTCAGGATCTCTCCGAGGTCAACAGCAAAGTCAGCAAACACGCCTAGGCCGCCGCCGAAGGTCTAATCAACAGTTAGCAGCGAGAGTAGACGAATCAGCCGAGTCCGGTCCATCCACTAGACAACCCTTAACCCAGTTACGTCGTTCAGCGCGCCTAAACCTGAACTCTGCACAACCACAAATTGCCGAACGATCTTCCGAGGCCGAAGCAAGTAGATCAATAACTCGCCGCCAGTCCCGCAATCTCCGTGAAGCCCGTAGAGCGGCGGAACTACTTCCACACAACGATCAGAATATCACCGCCCCTACCATCACTACCGACGAAGGGTTAGACATGGGTTCTACATCACGCCCAAATCATTCGAGCGGCTCTTTTGATGCTCCTGAGAGACTTTATACCCTTGAGGTTGCCGTTCAACCTCCGAGAGTTGCAAAATCCGGTGCACGTTTGTATCCACCATTGGCAATACGTGTGCACATCAGCGATGCGAACACCGGAGAAGAGCTTAGTGGCGAGGATGAACTCAACAGTCTTTTTGCACAGGCGACTCTGTACGGTGAGAGCGGTGATGGCCCTCCATTGGCTCCTCCCGACCCCCATCTTCTCTCCGGACGACTCTCAATGTCATTGGATCTTCTGAGCGATGATGAGGGACCCGAAGATGCGGCTCCACTAAGCCAGCAACAAGGGAGCTTTGTTATTTTCCCAGATCTTATGATAAATCGTACCGGCAGATATAGATTGGGTGTTAGTCTGTTCAAGATTGGTGACCGGATAAGGGTGCGATCTATTCCAACAGGGTCTGGAGAAATGCATGGGGGTGGCACGTCTTTGGAAGAAGTTAAAAGCAATGTGATTGTGGTGCAGAGATCTTCAGCGCCGATTGAGATTGGTAATTAGCCCTAAGGTCGGTTGTTTCCTCGAGCTTCAAGTGGCTGACTTGTCCAATTACTAGGTGCCGGTGCGCAACAATTCTTGGAGCATATCCGAAATAGGGGGGCCAGTGTGCCTTCCCCACCATCCTCTGAATAGTCCTTGTCCAAAAATAATTCCGGTATCTGGGGGGCAGATGATCGGAATTTGAGGCCTCCGCTTCGGAGTGGAAAATGAGTTCACATAAGTATGGCTGTTTATGATTGGACTGAAGTGGTTCGATACGTCTGGTATAATGGATTGCGGAGATTCCTGAGGCTCTGTAAGAGAATTGGTGTCTCTTCTTTTTGCTTTGCTTTCTTTTTGTGTTTATGTTTTGCCTGTTCCTGTCTCTTGATTTTCCCTTTTAAGTTTGTTTTTTTGCCGTTTTTTTTGATAGAGTACTCGGTAGAATGCCCGGTGAGCCGAGTCTGATGGATGGCTATAGATCCTGGGGCTAGAGGAAGGGTTGAGTTTTATTGTTATTCGATGGGGTGCCTATGATTAAAAGACTTTAGATTAAAGAGGAAGAGGGATGACTTGGGGGAAGCTTGGTGCTCACTTCTTGTTGTTTTATTTGATATTTTAGTTCTTTTATTTCTTATTTTGCGGATCTCCTTTTTGGAGCATTCCATTGATAACTTTTTCTCTTAAGTAACCTCCCTCCCCGATACTATCCCAGGTTTCAACCCAGAAGTTGAATGGTATTTGGTGTGGAAGAGATGTTACCCCACTCTGTATCCTGAGGCAGATGAATCGATCTTGTTGCTGATTTTATATGGTCCCTGTTGCCTAGACATCTCCACTGGCTGAGATACAAGATGAGGGTAAATGCAGGTTCTGCATGTTGCGACAGCGGAAATGGACCCTTTCCGGTGAGATGCAGGCAGGAATAGGTGCCATAGCTGAACTAAGCCCGTCAAACCGTAGCTCGTGCAAGCAGATACCAGGCGCTTTTAAGACCGTCCCGAGAGATATGACCCTGGGTAATACGACGGTGGCATTGGTGGCACGCTGGTTGAAAAGCGCCCACTAAGGTTGAATGCTTTAGACTGATAATTTTCGGAGGGAATCCTGGACGGGTATCGCAATTGGTAGCTCTTCATTCTACTACCAATGAAGAAGCCATTGCAAGATCGTGGACAACGGGTAGAAAATCCGGTAGCTGATGAGAAAAGATAAATTTGGAGTCGTGGGTTATTATGTTTTTAAGGTAACAAAAAGCTCCTGAAAATGTTAAGCTGAGTTGACGGACATATTCACCGACTCGTGGCTAGGCGCTGAGACCGGAAACTGTATAGGGCGGAGATCAGTTGTGTTTGGTGCGGTCTGGTCCAAGCATCTGGTATGAAGTACCGGAGGACAAGGATCGAAACGTTTTATGCAAATTATCAGTGCGCATCCGAGCGCCCATACTAAATTTAGATTCAAATAGCCTGGTACTTCATGCCTGATACTTGTCCAAAGATTATTGTTGTCTACTCGGGGAGTTCCGTATGAGTGGGCATATTCGGTATGACAATGGTTTCGTGCTCGAGTAGTTCATCTGAGAGTGGTTGCTAAAGAATTAGCTTAGTTGGCTTACGCTTGATTGACCGGTTATTCAACTGCGGTGACATACAAGGTCGAGGGCAACTATTGACATACCGGTATTATTCAAAGTGGTTTTGAGAAAATTCGCACTTGGGGGCGAAGCTGCGCAGCAGGAGATCAGGAATAAAGAGTGTCGGTACGGCGGTCAATCTGGGTTATATACTAGCCCCGGTATTTTGTTTGTTTTTCTTGGTGGAGCCTTCTTGTTATGCTGCCGGCATGCGAGTTCCGAGAATGGAAAATTGCCCAGGAAACCCTGTTGCTGATCGCTGTCCGGCCTGTTCCGAGTACCTGATCGACAAGAACCGCCAACACGCTCATGTGTGACACTCTGGATCGGGATACTAAACAATCTGTTCGCCTCGTTTACAAGAAAGCGGGGTGGTTCTGCATTTTGGATCAATAAATGCCGAGATCCCAATAAGGTTGGTGATTCGTGGGAGAACAAGAGGAAATCGTGTTCAGGGTTGGATCCAGGTAGAGCCCTGTCTACAGTTGAACTTTCTTATTATAGCAAGATAAGGGACACTCAATACAGGGTGGGAACTTCGAGTGACATGCTGTCAAAATCTGTTGGGTTAACACCCCCACGGAGCCAGGTAGCCGCAGAAAGGAGTCTGATAGTGGTTTGGTGCTGCTAATCGGTGGTTTCAAAGTGTTGTCCGGAACCTGGGAAGTTCCGAAAAGCGGCTGCTGCGGTGCGAAGGTGCAAGTGATACCTAATGCGTTCACCAATGAGGGCCGAGACACTCATTGCCAGGGGCGGTTGGAGGTGATTACCTAGTTGGCTGTTTGATTTTGGATGGGGACTAAGAGATCAAGTACGGTGGTGAAGAATATGTGTGAGAGGGAGGCTTGCGGGAGGTAAAGAGAAGAGGGTCAGAGGTGAGGAAGGAAGACAGAAAGGGGGAGTGAAAGGGAGAAATATTGCTGTTTACGTATACACTATTGATCAAAAAAATTAAAAATTCGGTAGCCATGGCTACCAATACGGTACCAGTTACTCGAGCGGTAAGGGAATATTCTATCAGCTACGAGGCGAGCCTCCTGATTCTATATCTAGGGGGCATTGAGTTTCATTTTAGCTTTATTTTTCTCTTTGATTTTTTTAGCTTCTTGGACATTCATAGTTGATCTTGCTCGTCCCTCAAAAAAAAAAACTTTGGAGAAATGTCCCGTTTAGCTTTTGTGGTCCCATCAGACCCGCTTTTTAAATGATATCCCCCAACCATCTGAAGAAAGTAGAGAATGGGCAAAAGGGTGGGTTGTTAATAGATATCTTCAAGTTGCATAGTGGGATTTTTTAGTTTCCTCCGGAGGGAAACCTTTGGAAATCAAGGAGACCTACATTAGCTACCCGACCGTTTAGGGAGGAAAACGCAGCTCTTCCCCCTGGAACCAAAAGGGAAAAGCAAAAAACCCTGTCAGAAGGATGAGGAGTTTCTTTTCCATGGTAATATTATGTGAAATGCCTAAGAGAGGCAGTGGTTAAGATGTCAAAAACAAATTAACCCCTGCGCGGTTATTAGGAGCCCAGGAGCTTAATTCCTCTTACGGCGAGCCATTACTGAGGAATTTATGGTGTATAAACTATCCGGTACATATTAGATTGTAGGACGGTTAAGAAGTCCTGCATATGGGGGTCGGGGGGGGTGAAGATCTTCGCCTTCCTCAATAAGGATTTAGCGCTAATCAGACCTGCTATCATATCGTACCAGGTGGTAAGTTGGAATAAGACCCTGGACCATGCCCATGGACCACGCCCATCGTAGGAGGAGTCAGTGACCGGCAGGGTATAATACCAGAAGACAGAAGGAAAAATTGAGCAAGGATTAAGGCTCTGTTTAGTATCATATGCCAGCAACTCACAAAAATGCTGTCCTTCTTGAAAATTGTGTTTTTTTAACATCCTAAGACCCTCAACGAGAGGGAAGAAGACAAACCATATTCAGACAACAGCTGCCTTATTGCCCAGTTCGATGAAAGCGGGATCCTTTGGAGGGGGAGTTGAGTTATAATGGAAAATGTAAGAAGTACAACGTTAAAATATTTCATTTGGAACAGAAATGCTGTAAAGGCCGGAAAAATCCTACTTTTGTGGCGTGCATAACAGGTCCTTAAATATTTTTTCCTTTTCCGCTCCTTTGATTTGAAAAAAACAACTGCCCATGGTGAATACTATACGTGTTATCTAGCATTCAGATGACTAGATTGGTTAGTAAGCATGGACATCGGCCACTATTGCTCGCCTTGCAGACTTACTATACTTTCTCAACAAAGTTTGGTTGGGTATGAATAGCGGCTTCTAGTAAAAGATATGTGATCCGTCTGATAGCTGCAGCGAGGGCCAGCCTCCTGCCAGGGATTGTATGAGGATTTTGTTATTCGAAATAATACCGCATGGCTATGCGGACATAATTTCTTCCCACTTTTGATCCTCTGGACCCCCTTCATGCAGCGCATGACCCGTGGGAACCCATGTATGATGTTAGCAAGCATCCACCAGACCCAAGCCACAGTATATGACCAGCAAGCTGCGATCACCAGACATCACTCGTGTCATTACCCATAGTTAATCGCCTTGTTATATGATGCCATATCGGTACTCGTGAAGACCGACCTGAATGCCGGGCACAATCCCCTGGGTGGCGTTGCGTTAGGTGGGAGGAATTTTTGCGCTCGCATTACTTAGCTTATGGGCCTGGTGACGGTATTAGACAGCGCACCTGAGATACATTGCCACCCGGAGTTTCTCTATGAGCACGGGCAAAAAAAACAACCGACAAACCACTGCCCCCAAGGTAGTGTAACGAAGTGGGGAGTTTATGTCCTTCCCAGGAAGAAGTGCCTAAGCTGCACTGTCCGATAAGGAATTTTTCGTTTCGCGATTTTTTCATGTAATCCTGGCTCCCCGAGTAGTGGGCAAATTATCACTCAGCACCAGGCCGCCGCACTCTACCATTCTGTGCGTCATAACACTACTATAGCGCTATTGGAATCTCCATATTTTCCTATCCTGGGAGGAGTTCCGATAGATACCGCGGAGAATACAAGAGCACAGTATAAAGGACAGTCAACAGAGAGGGAGGGCGAAAAATAGACCGAAAGTTTAGCGGCAAACACCAATTTTGGTAAGATTGTTCTCTGTGCTTGCCCTGGGTGCTTCTCCTCCCACTATGCTGCTCGGATTCCCAAAGAAAAATAGCACTGATCACTGAGCTCGGGAGGCTTTGTGCTCCAGAAATCCTGAACATATCTATTCTTCCGTGGTGTAGAAGAAATGATAGCCTCGTAGGGGCTGGGAGACCACGCTAATGTGAGAAGAAATAGAACCTTTGCTAGAAGCGTTGATAGGCATAGGGAATTGGGATCGGAAGTGTGCCGACTTGGAGCTCTACTGTGGACTGTCTGGTGTTGCTTGAATAGTTGGGTGAGATATGTGCGTTGAGGATTACATCCTCACTGAAGCACTGGCATGGGTTGTCTGAGGAATGAGGATTCCCCTTCACCTCTTCCCTACACTTAATTCCCTTCCCTTTTTGATCTTGTCCTTTTCATCTCTCCTTTTTCTTGATAACAAGAATATCATCGTTTTAATCTCATCAAGTCCAGTCATAAGAACGTAGAACCTCAAAGTAAAGAAATATGTAAGTGCTTGCCGCCTGTGCTATGTTATTGTGTTTAGGGAAGTGGAGGGAGAAAGGATATCAGTGAAGTAAGGGGGAATGTATATTAGGCCGCCCACGGGAAAGGAGTTCGAAGGATTTGTGTACCAGCGGTATAGGCGACTGAACATTGTCAGATACTAGGGTTCCGGTAAGTGTGATAGGAACTTGCCATCCTTGTACGAGGTAGGAGATCCTCACAAAGAGTATCAAAAGCAAAGATACACCCGGGACATGAATTTATAAATATAGGTCACTGTCACTATGGACAATTCACACCGAACATTCCTTAGGTTCCATTTGGATGCAACGGCTCCGTTCCTTTGCCCCATATAAAGTGACCGTTTTTTCCTACTTGACGATTATTTTTACAGCAGAAACGCCCGCAAAACTGAACGGAATCTTGTATCCGAACTGAGGCTTGGTGAAAGACGGTCAGTTTGCGAGGCGGTCGATGATGACAGTGTGGTTTGATGGCAAATGATCACACTCGGAGGCCAGTTTAGTTGAGCTTGCACTAGAGTCTGAATAGCATTCAGGAAAATAGCATTCAGGAATTACAACAACTGTTGCCGTGGGCCGGGGGGTGGAAAGAAAAAAATGTGCCGCCGATCGCAGACCACTTCCCACAGGGTCCGGGTCCAGAGTCGGATTCTACCGCCACAATCTCCCAGTTCCAGTAGGGCAGGGTTTTTGAATTGCCCCGCTCTACATGATGGAGCGTTCAAGAACAACTCAGTAAAGAGCTGGGATCGAACTCCTGGGCCCCCGCTAAGTGCACAGGAGGTTAATTGGTTCTTGACATATTAACCACTGCGCTAGCTAGGTATTTCACACAATACCATGGGAACCAATACTTATCCTGCTAGTAGGTGGATTTACTCGCCAGTAGTTAATGAAACTATTTCATAATATGATATCACCAAGTGTCTAATTCATTATGAAGAGAAAAAATGAGCCACTATTGATTAAGTGACAATATTGGTGAAGAGAGATAGACCATAGGTATTTGAAGAAACTTTGCTGGTCGAAATTTGCGTGAATAAGAACTAACTGAAGGGAGTGGCTGGTAACTGAACTTAGACAGGAGGAAGGAATTCTGGCTACCAAGTTAATTGTATTTTGAAGTCTGCACTGTTTCTGGGATCGTCATGTCTGATTCTGTTCTCTTCGCTCTCTCAGCGCAGCCAACTACCGTGACCGTATTTTTTAGAGTTGGAACGTCCCCTGCAGCAGCATCCCTGCACAGAACAAGGATATCAACGATGAATCTCGGGGGAGCTAGCATTAAGGAGAATATGTGGGATGAGTGAAACTCCTGTGGGAAATTATAGGTGTTTATCATCCTCATGCTTTCTGGATTGGCTGCCATCTTTTTAGTGTCACTATCAGTACTGTTCATGATCATCGGAAACACTTTTGAAAACCATTGGTGTTCTGGTGCACAGTTGTGTGGCACGAACACAAAACCATCAATACACAAAAAGCCAATCGGTATAAAAACAGGAATGTTTCAGAATTGTTATTCAAGTATACACACAAGTTGGCGAGGGTACAGAATACCCCGAAGATGTTAAGACCAAACATGGGCCGCTTTATTATAAAAGTCCACCCCAAAAGTTATTTTGCAACCAAGGTTCCCGCAATACTGGACTGGAGATGCCAGTACCGGTACTATGATATGGGGGTGGTAAGTTCATTCTCTGGGGTTTCTCCGAGAAATATTTAGCGACCTAACTAGACAAAGGGGATAATATCTTCTCTATCGTTGCTCCTGGAGAATTTTTTAGGGTAATGATAGAGCTGTACAGTACTTGTACATTTATATGATATCATACTTGCTGTTTTCGAAAGTATCATATCAGGAAATCTTGGCGTTTCCTAGGCCTAGACTGTGCCAAGATTTCCTGATACTTTTGGAAAACAGCAAGTAATGTAATATGGTGAGTTTTGGGGTGGGAGTGTGTCAATTCAATGGGGAGGTTTTGTTACGACCGTCGTAACAAGAACTGTGCTTATTTTTGTGGCGAATTATGGCGTTTGCTGCTCGTAAGCATACTTGTAGTACTCGTACAAAACTTGGTGTGGGTTGAAAACTTTTCTCCTAGCGTTGTGCAAACTATCCATTTTTGGTAAACACAACCACTTTACGACCGTCTCTGTTCTTGAGATTGTGCAAAGTTGAGCCACCGAGCACTATCGCACATGTGGAAAGGTTAGTGCCGTTGCTGTGGTGATAAGGAAGGTTCAAGTTACGACCGTCTTAGCAAAACCTCCCTAATAGCCGGCAAGGTGAAAACAAGATCACTGCAACAATGGGCCCCATTACGGCACTGGCATAGTAGTGCTTGAGGTCAAAATGAAGGTGGAGTGCGCTGTTGGTATTTCGTCTTATGTTCGGCCTCGGAAATTTATACTCGTAGATTGAACCACACGAACCCTTGTTTCAAATAGAGACCCCTGGTGGTATATATTGTATATCGGAGAAAGTGGCTTTACTTCGCCGAGGGAATGCGGCGCAGGTAATATTTAATATTTTATATTACCGTGCTGTTGTCTTCTTAAAAGATATCCCACGCCCTTCCGCGGCTTTGAAGGGTGGAACTATGATACATTTATCTTTAATTTAATTTATCACCTCATTTATCTGACTGGTTATCTTACCATCTCCGTTTAGTTTAGTAGTAAAAAGGGTCGAGAGGATCATTCTGTATATAATTTAGATAATTTAGATACCGTGTGGGGGAGCTGTGTTTCTTCGTAACTTGATGCGTGAATAGGGAGCGAATTCTAGTCACATGGCTCGTCAAGGCCCAAACACTAATTCCACTATAGTATTCGGGGTGGTAGAATGTTGTAGTCTACAGCACTAGTAGAGTACAGTACCCTGGATTCACGGGGAGCTGTACGGTGAAACACTGGTGCAGCGGTGGATTCGAGAGGAAGGAGTTAACTTACGGCACCTTTTGAGTCGGTATGGAGTCTGCCAGCACTTTGATGGGATATTCGCAGCGCATTTTTCTACATGCCGTCGGTAACTTATGAAATGGAGGAAAAGGAACAAAGTTGTCATCATGCGGCTTGAAATATAGCACCCTGAACGGCTTTTGTCAAAGCACCGTTGCGATATGGGTGAAAGTTACAGCAGGCGACCTGCATTGCACACAAGGTATCATATGCAACCAAGGGGACCCAGACTGCATTCTACGAGCCGCATCGATGTTCTCATCCTTCCCGATCCCAACAGTTTCAACCATTCGGGAAGATTCGGTTTGCAGTTCACGTGATTCATAACACAGAATCAACGAAAGCCATTACCTTGTGGACTCGAGATCTGCCTGACCGTCTAACCGAAATGCAAGTGGGTGTGTTCTACTGCACTAGTACCAGTACTCGAGTACAAAGGTCCAGAGCCAAAAGAAGCCATTATCATCATTATCCGACGCGGGATAATATATAATAATATTATTATGTGGTACAGGCGCAGTGGCATACAGCACCGATCCTATTCCGCGATAAGCTGGAATGAATAAATATTAACGGTAGAGTGATATGATAATCTCTCCGCCATTTCCCATAGAAATGATAAAAATAAACAACATCTGTGTATTCTGCTGATGATTCGTCCTGGCGAGCTAGGCCATTGCAAACAAATGCTGAGAACGGCTTTTTTTCTACCGGTGCTTCGCTGCTTGGACAACACAACAGGGTTTAATTTGTTCACCCCTGACAACCGGAGACAACAAAACAACAACCCCGCCAACTCACCTTCATTTGGTCCTCTTCTCCTTCCCCCCGGCTGGACGAAGACAAACACCGACGACGACAACGACTCACGGATATTGCCCGCCCATACCGGTAGTCAGCAAACCGGTCCTATTTGACGAACAGGTGAACCAGCGGGGACGGCATCGGGTAACGGCGACAAAGGTAAAGAAAGGAGGAGGGAGCCTGATAAAGAAGATTGGATAGGCAAAAAACGTGCAGGAAAAGAAGGGGGAAACCGTCTCAGGAGTCCGATAACGAATATTCGGTACGGTAGATTTGGTCATCACCCCTTCTCTCCTTTCCTCTCTCGCTTTCCCCATCGTCGCCGCTGGAACGAGCTCCCCGCCCCCTATCCTTACGACACACGGAACAGTCAGCCACTAGCCAGCTAGAGCAGTCATCCACCAACCGAGAAAGAGGCCCATCGCCCTCCGGCGATTTACTGTATCCGACGAAACGACATAACGAATATTAGCACACTCTCTCCAACTATTGACATCGACAAAAAAGAAAAATAACCAACTAATAGCTATGCCATCAAAGGATTGCGACTCGCCCGGAAGCGAGGCTAAAGAAGCCCTAGCTTACTACAAGTCTCAGATCCAGCAACTAGAATCGGAACTTGTAGACTTTCAGGCGTCTTCCAAGGAGCTCGAGCAGGAACTTGAAAAGGAACTCGAAGCAAGCGAGAAGCAACACCGGGATCTAAGGAACAAGAACGAGGGGCTACGATATGAGGTTGAGGAATGGAAAGTATGTTTGGAACCTCCGTCGCATCCCCGAGCCCTAGCTCCTGACTTAAAGGAAATGGTTCTCTATGAACGTATCGGCTAACGCTTATTAGAATAAATACAAACAGTCCAAAACCGAGGCCAATAGCGCCCAAAATACCCTCCAGAAGGAAATTACCAATCTTCGCGAAACTAACCGACAAATCTCGCTCCGGTTACGGGACATCGAGGTCTCTAACGATGACTTTGAACGACAGGAGCGCATAGTCAAATCATCCTTAGAGGATATGGAGTCGAAATATAACCAGGCTATTGAAAGGGGGGTCCTACTTGAGGAGGAGATTAAGATTGGAGAACAGGAGCGGGAGGGATTAAGGATCGAATGCCAGCGATTGAGAGACGAGCTATCGGATCTGAAGGTGGAACAGGATATTACGGTGGATAAGTTAAATAATGCTATGGCTATGGCAGCGAAGTATGGTAATGGAAGCCTGCATCACGTTCCGCCACCCGCGAAGTTCCAGTCAACGCTATCGGAAACATCATCGGTCGCTTCTCGACCGCCGAGTACTCCTACAACACCTTCCGCAGCATCCACATCTACTCCACAATCAGATCACTCCCCGACACCCCCATCTCCCCCAATGTCCGAGGTGTCGACAACTCCTTCCCAACCCTCTCGTGCAAGGGAGGACCCAGCTCTGACCCCCCGACCCAAGCACCATCAGAGACCTGCCCACTCACGAGCTCCGTCATTCGGATCTCATGGACCCGGCATGAGGCCGCCTATCCCATCTTCGAAGTCACTTCACCACATCCGTGGCTTGATAGGACAGATGCAAAGGCTGGAGCAACGAGTTCAGCATGCCCGCAGTAAATTACCAGGACCTGTCAACACACCTCCTCGGATATCCCCTCGCAACCAGGGAGCTTTTATCCCACCAACGGTTACTATGAGGTCACAAAAGAAACACCGGCCATCCTCTATTTCCTCTGTTACTTCTGGTCGTAGCGATAGGGACACCGTGTACCCGCACGGCACCCGACTATCCTTTGGCGAGCGACCAAGCTCGCGAGCGACATCTCGCCCATCAAGCCGTGCCTCGGGCGCTACCTCACGCTCATCACTAGGATCTCAACTTCCTCAATCACATAGGCCGAGCAGTCGTGCTAGTCTCTCAGGAAGGGTAACACCCATGGAAACACATTCTGAGTTTGGAATGACTACTATCAACGTGCGTGATCGAACAAGCATTGGTAGTGTGGCATCTAGCACGGATGACACGTTTCCAGCTCCCGCTATCCGCAGAAACACTGTTTCCAAGGGAGAAAGTGGAATTCCACTGCCTGCTAGTGGCTTACCTAGACGAAGTTTTGGAGGACGAAGAATCAGTAGTACCAGTGTCGAGGGAGAAGCTCGCCGACGATTGGGTAAGAAGCTGAGTGGTGTGGGCGAAGCATAAATTCTCCCACGGCTTCCTCCTTACCTACGATACCTTACCCACCTTAATTACCTATCCATCCAAATAGCTACCTACCTGCCTACTCTTCCCCACAAAGTTGTCCATTCACGAATTATCTTATTTTATTACTATTTTTTTATTACAGTTTAGTTTTTAGTTCTCTATTTGAGCTCTTCACAAACCAAAGGACTGCAATACGTCCGAAACTCTTCACTTCACTTCATTTAACATGCGTTACTTGAACAGCCCAGTTATCTTTCCTTTTTACTATTCTCCTGACTTTTATTTTTCCTTTTCCTTCAGCCCGCGGTTGGAACTTGCGTTCTAGCACTTTCTTTTTTGCGTGCGCTCTCACTCGAACTCATTATGCTGCTCTAGTGTGGGATTGCTTTCTCTTAAAATTGGATTTTGGGCGGATGGTAGGAGGGGACAAGGGGCGCTAGGAGTGGAGGAGACGAGGGAACTTGAAGAGTTCATGAGGGATTCTTGCCTTGTCGTCTCGCATTGTACGTCCTAGCATAGGAGTTTTTTCTTTTCACTATCCTCTCTTCTACAATGCATTGCTTTGGGGAAGGCGGGGGAGTGCCTTGACATGCGTTTTGCAGGACGACGAGGCCCGAGAAGGAGGGGGGGAGGGGGGGGAAGAAACAGAAGGAGTGGGCGGGGGCGGAGGTGTAGGTACCAGAATATACTCTTTTGAACGGTGCTTTGTACAATTGTGCTTTTTGATGGCTGTCTTTCTTTTTCCTTTCACCTTTACCCCCTTTCTCGTATCACTTGTGTGTTTATCTGCTAGGGCGTGTGGCGGTTTTTACGGATTGTATGATAGAGGTTTATGAGATATTTCGTTAGACGGTTTCGTTGAATTCGGCGCGAAGCCGGCGTCAACCAAAAACTCAGCGGAATGGTGAACATGGAAGAGCTCCAGCTGCTTCCTCCTTTCCCACCAGTAGAACCAGAATACCCAATCCCCTACAAGTATTGAAGGAAACGGGCTAGGAGGGGAGCGAGCGGGTGGGGAGCAAAGTTCGCGGAGGTGAGAGGGGAAGAGGGATTAGAATGGGAAAAAAAATGAACCGGAAAAAGTAGTGACAAGAGTGGGACTTGAACCCACGCTCAGTTTCCCGAACCAGGATACGTGTTAAGATAACCTTAACCTGGCGCCATAACCAACTCGGCCATCTTGCCATTATTATAATTGTTTCATGAAGTTCGTTGACATATATTACCCGAGAGTGAGTAGGCATGCCTGTTCACAACTCTTCGTTAGCCTAATTAATCGATTCCATTGCTTCCATTGCTACTTTTTCTGTTCTCGTGTGGAGTACTTTTGTTTGGTACGGGTAGTAATTGAACCTGCGCTTCGTTTGCGAAATATTCTGGCTTTTGTATGATATCGCTTGCTTTAGACCTGAGGGTGGTAGAAGCTAGGGTTTGTTTCTCGATGATGCTTGTACGATGGTGGGGTTTTTTGTTAATGCCTGCGAAGTCATAAGCGCTGGATGTGTGAGTGGTTTTGCATGGGTATCTGGCCTAAAAGTGACAAGTACTTATAGCCTTTGGCATTGGTGAGAACCGGGAACAGAATCACTCGCAGAGGGGTATATGGGGATATTCGAGAATCGGTTGTATGTGATACCCTGGGTAGTGTTTATGGCACACATCAAAACATGCTCTATATTCCTTCCAGGTGCTCTACATCTGGCTACCTAAACAGCCAAAACCTCCTCCAACCTTCCCAAAAACAGCTCGTGGGCTTGGAGGTCTTTCATCTCCATCAGGAACTCCTTGGCCTCATCCCCGCAATCACCCCTCCACCTTTTAATGATACTCAATCCCTCTACGACCCGCCCAAACACTACCCACACCTCTTCCTCACGCATCCACCCAACAGGCCCTTCCTCCCCCATCTCCTTGGCGAACTCTCGAGCCCTGGCAACGGCATTTAGGGTATCCTCGATAAACCGGCTATTTTCTGGTAACCCTCCCAGCACCGCGGCCCAGCGCACTACCTCGCCGTGAACATCTAAAAACAGATTCTGCTTCTCTCTAGCAAAGAGAATTTTATCCTCGGTGGAGACTTGTTTCAGTAGATTCTTGACATCGCCATTGACAACAACTCTCGAAACGACCTCTCTAGCAAATTCTTCATCCTTACTGAATGATTTAGCCATTTTATCAATGAGGGTATCAGCGGATGCGAGGGGGAGAAGGGTGTGTTCTCCTTTCGTGACAGACTTGACGATTCTTGCGGCTTCCTCGCGGATGTCTTCGTCATCGTCATGGAGGAAGTCGTAGAGACAGAAGTAGGCGTGGTTGAAGGTCTCAAATGTTAGAATTGGACATAGGGCTTTCACAGCGGAGACAGCGGCCTGGCGAGTTGGGAAAGGATTGTCCTCGTAGCCCGATAGCTCTACTTGTTTTGTTATCTCCTTGAGGAGAGATGCGGTTGGATGAGACAAGTGGGTGGTTAGTTTTGCTAGCGCCGGGAGAGCTGCGATACGGCATGGCTCGGTGGATGCACTAGTACAGAGCGTCAAGAGAATCTTGCATCGTTCTTGGAGAAACTCTTCTGGGGCTCCCTGCGGTGGGGGATATTCTGATAGGAGGTTTACAGCCATGGTACGTAGTTGATCCCATGGGTGAATTGTAATTATTGTCCACAGGGTGGCATCAAGTGAGGTGAGAGTATCCTGATCGAAATTTAGAGGGGAGGAGGAAAGGTGAGAGCTAGTATATAAAGCAAGCTCTTCATCCTCGCTGGCTATGGAGGTGATAAGGGTAGGTATGCGATCGTTTGAGTAAGCTGCAAGGTTATAGATATATCTGGTTAACTCCTCTTTTAACATTGAGCGGCCAACTGTAGACGCTCGGCCAACCTCTTGTAGAACCTCCTGCGAAGTCTTGCAATATTCCAGTAGGTTGTTGAGAAGACTCTGGGCTGCTATTAAATTTATTTTAGTGCGGTTCCGTAACAAGTCGAGGAAACGTTTACATACGATTATTGAGCGGTGTCTTTAACAGTCGTTGAATATTATCACTGTTAATGAGAGACAAAAACGAGGCTTTTGTTACCGCACAGTTATTTGACTGCACCAAAATTCTCCAATACCTTCCAAGGACCTCGAAAATCTTTTCCCCGCTGCCCGCGCCTCTTCTATCCAGCAAAGCCTTAACGGCACAAAGCCGGCCATGGACAAAGTTCTGTCTCCGACTTTCCCCTGCATCCCGGAGTAGTTGATCAATAACCTCAATGAGATGCTGAGCGCTAACAAGGGTGGAATAACTCCTCGCAGCCATCTCCCTAATTTTCCAAAAGCGGCTACTCAAACATCTCATCACTGCCGGTTCAATAGCGTTTGCATCAAACCCTTCGCTTGGTTCTAGCCTAGCAATGAGTGATAGTGCTGGATAAAGTTGTTCAACGCTTTTAATATCCGATTCTCCGTTTAAACTTTGTAGCAGGACTGATGTCACCGCTGGGTAACGCTCGAGGAAGTCTTTGATTTCTATAGTCCCTGTCATTCTTTTGCCGAAAAGTCTATTCACAAGCGCAGTGAATAACATGATACCACAATTTCGGATAGCCCAGACCTCACTTGCGAAGCAGCTTACAGATAACTCTAATCCTCTCCCTAGGAATTCCTGCGAAGAGGATGATAGGCGGGAGTCCGCAAACATGACTTTCAAGCAGTTAAGGGCGTGAACTTGAGGAAGTTTGACCTTGGTCCCGTCTATTGAGAGGGCAGCGGGCAAACGCGCGAATTCCTCCAGTTTCTCAAAAGTTGATTTGAGTAGTGGACGGTCTGGGTGTGGGTCCGCGATTACAATGCCAACTATTAGGTAAGGAAGACCGGCGGAACGCCGAGTGATCGAGTCGGATTTATCGATTATTTGAAGAATGCTCTTAGATAGCCATTGTTCAGGTAAATCGGAAAGGGTTTGGGTAGCTAAGCACCGGGAACAAAGTTCTATGAAACTAGGAGACACTGCGGAGAAAGCGCCACGATGACGAATATCTAATAGTTGCTCTAATAAGACATTTCCGATGTCGGAGAAATTCTGCTTGGACAGTGATTGGGGACCCGAGCCGAAATCGGCTGTACCAATAATTGCGCCTAAGAGTGCACTTTAAATAGTGTTAAAAATCAGGAAGACGAGTGACTCCACATGAACTGGCAAATTACTGCATACCTGGATTCTTTGACTGCTCTCCAACAATAACTCATAACAGTTTGTGTGTCCATTCCATCATCTCCTGTGTCCTCCTCCATCATCCCCTGCGGCACATATCCCTCTGGGCTAACAAAACACAAAATGTCCTTAGACATCTGCCAGATCTCCACGCAGTATTCGAGGATCCGAGAAACGGGGAGTTTCTCTGCACAGCCTTTGAGAGCACCCTGACAAATCCCCCCCCCTTCGAATATGAGTCTGAGCGCAGAGAAAAGGCCATAAATGGGTCTCTCTCGAACAGCTCTTTGGAAGTCTTCTCGGGCAACCTTGAGGTAGTCCAGTTCCAAAACATTTAGCACCCAATCTACCACACAAAGTTCGCCACTTTGAGCAGCAACCGCGAAGCCCCAAAGTTCCTCGAGCTTTGATTCCGGGGAACGTTTCGTCGCAAAATGGAACCACAGGTCGATAGATCTAGCAACGCCATCCGCATCTCTAGCTCTTCCAGAGGTATTCATCTCCCTGAGTCCCCTTTCCAGAATTACCCGAAGTGACCCGCCACAGTCAGGAGCGAACTTCAAAACTTCTGCTGCCATAACCCTTACATCTTCAAAGGGGTTGAATAAGCAATCGACCAATACCCTCTTCATCGCTCCATCAAAAAAATCTACTCGGACACTTGGAGGCCAGTATAGTAACCCTTTCTTCTTGCTTGCTTTGTCGTCAGGATCCACCAGTGACGGGTCAACTCCAGAACGGACAACCATTATTAGAACTCTCAGCGCTGTCACAACACGCTGATAGCTCGCCCCTGGGGCTAATTGAGACTTCAGAAAGTTCAAATACCAGCTTATAAAGGAAGCTGCCTCTTCAATGCTTTCTTTGTGTCCCAGAATTCTTGAGAGGGTGGTTTGGTCTTTGGGTAGGCGAAGGGCGTTTTTCTGAAGTCCTTGCAGGTCCTTATCGAGGGCATAGGAACTGCTACCCAAACGTTCTACGAGTTGCCTTATACTCCCAATTATCAGGTCCCTCACCTCTGCGTCAGTTTCTGCGTGTAACGGTGGGAGTGCTGACTTCAATACACGGAAGGCGGAAGTTGGGAGGGGCTTTGTGAGAGTTGGAGAATATGTCGTTAAAGTGAGTGCAGCGAGGCGGGTGTGCCCGTGTGCATTTGAGAGGAGTGGCGAAACAAAAGAGGAAGGAAGCTGTACAGGAGTGGAGCCTAACGGATCGTTATTATCGGCATTGGCTGCATCATCTACAGAGTCACAATTAGTCGATTAATTGGAAGTAAGGTGGCACTAGATTCGTCGTACTTATTTCATCCACAAATCCCAGATCTCGCCCAACTTTGAGACAACGAAGAAGACTCATCAAATCCCGCTCATCCCCGCCCCCAAGGTTTCCTCGGTTATATCTCCCTAATCTTACCCCCTGGGTGAACCGCACAAAGCACTCCGGTGATAGCCGGAAGAGTCCTGGTAGGGCATAGATTTGTACATTCCCTCGTACTTCCTCAGATCTTAGGGCAATATTCAGTGGTACTTCCCAGCATTCTATCCAGCGGTCCAAGTCATTTAATTCGGTCTTTCTTGCAGCCAGAAATCCAACCACAGCTCTCCCGATGACCGGGGAAAGAGTCCGATCTTTCAACGCCATGAACATTTCCCCCACAATCGTACCATGCTTGGTGAAAACCCATTCTGCCCCTACCCCCCTTCTCATGAGTACATCGAATACATAATACCCAACTTTTTTGCCCCGCGCTGCAAGTGCGCTTTCCACCAGTTGCCGCTTGAATTCCAGATCCGGATGAGATGAGAAAATATTCCCGAGAAGGTCTTTAAGGGCTTTAGATAATGCGCTGGAAGCCTCATCAAAGTAAGCGAACGCAACATTAGCAAGTGAATTCCAGACCTCAGGACTCGCCTCCACAGCTTCCCGTAGCGGAGTTGAACTGGCCGATCGAATCAGCCATGTGGAGATGGTATCGGATGCAAGCGCACGGTGTTGCTGACGCAGGCTAGGAATTCCCGTGGTCTGAAGGATGAGATTAAAGAGCGGGCCTAAATCCTCACTACGCAAACTTAGCTATTATGTAAAAGTAAGTAGCGGACAAGAAACGGTACCTCACATCTTCGGCCTCCCTCGGAGCATTAGCCTTAGTCTTCCGAATTAATATAGTACGAATCTCCTTCAACAGGGCCTCCGAAATTGGGATCTGCTGGGCCTGTTCTAGGAACCTGGCTAGAGTGATGGTTTCCATTGTTATCATTACACTAATTTCAGGAACAAGTCGAATGTCAAAAATCTGAGATTGCGGGGGTTGCCTCGTGTAGCCGAGGCCGGGTAACCTTTAGAAAGCCATGTGTTGAAGAAACCTGACACCTGATGCTTTCCAGGTCTTCTTGCTCGCTCCGAGTTATGCACGCTCTAGCACCTTACGAAGGCCAAAAAACGCATGAAAACCTTGACACTAGAACCAACAGGGATAATGTAATGATATCACCTACGAAAGGGAGACCGAAGACCGAAAACGCTTCACCTTGAGCTTCTTTTGTTCAACGGTCCGTTGACTTAAAGGACTAGTGATCTATTGGATTTATCTTGATGTGCAGACTTTCGAAGAGCTAATTGCAACGTTGCAACAAAGGGGTATCAATCTTATCCTATCATAATAACCTTCTATATCTTAATAGTCTGAACGCGATATCAAGAAATTTATTTTGGCCAACAGTTATCACAGATTACAAATAATAAAATACAATAAAATGTCTCGGATTGAGATTTATCAATGGTAGCGCAATTCTCTATTCTTACTTCAAGTTTGATTAATAGGTTTTATAGTTTAATGATTTACAAGCTATACAATAACATCATGACGGAGTGCTGGCCTCAAAGTTGAGTATTGTAACCAACGGGGGGGACATAATGAAAACCAGCGGGTAACAAACAGGGGGGTTTCATAGGCAAAAGGGTAGAACTCTTCGAGTACAGTAAGGCCAAATACAGAATCAAACCGTGTGCCATGTATCATAGTCCCAAATTTCCTCCTTTGTAAAAGGGGCGCAAAACACTGCAAAAAAAGAGATGCATGAATGAAATCAACAAGTCAAATAATCCTTTAGTATTGAAAGCAATACTAACACAAAATAAATTCAGTATTAAAAGTAATAGAGTAATTAAATATAAAACAAACTTAGTATAAAAAGTGATACTGCAATCAAACATAATACAAACTCAACTTAAACAAGTACTGGTACCAGTTATAATAACCATTTAGATAAGCTTAAGCATAAAGGAAACATCTGCACTACAAGGAAATATCATAAGTAGGTAAGAACTACTAATATCAAGTAAGTTCCAGTAGTAAGAAATAATATAATTCTGTTACTGGAGCAGATATTTTGAAAACAGTATCAGGTTTTATGGAGATAATAGCAGATTTTGCAGAAATAGTATCAGACTTTATAGAGATAGTAGTGGATTGTGTGGAAATAATATTAGACTTTACAGAGATAGTAGCGAATTTTGTGTAAATAATATTAAACTTTATAGAAATAGTAGTAGATTTTGCTGAAATAGTATCATACTTTATGGAGATAGTAGTAGATTTTACAGAAATAGTATCAGACTTTATAGATATAGTAGTGGATTTTGCGGAAATAGTATCAGACATTATGGAGATAGTAGCGGATTTTGTGGAAATAGTATCAGACTTTATGGAGATAGTAGCAGATTTTGCAGAAATAGTATTGGAATTTATGGAGATAGTAGCGGATTTTGTAGAAATAGTATTGGACTTTATGGAGATAGTAGCGGATTTTATGGAAATAGTATCGGACTTTCTGGAGATAGTAGCGGATTTTGTAGAAATAGTATTGGACTTTATGGAAATAGTAGTGGATTTTGTGGAAATAGTATCGGACTTTATGGAGATAGTAGCGGATTTTGTGAAAATAGTATCAGACTTTATGGAAATAGTAGCGGATTTTGCGGAAATAGTATTGCACTTTATGGAGATAGTAGCGGATTTTGCGGAAATAGTATTGGACTTTATGGAGATAGTAGCGGATTTTGTGGAAATAGTATCAGACTTTATGGAAATAGTAGCGGATTTTGCGGAAATAGTATTGCACTTTATGGAGATAGTAGCGGATTTTGCGGAAATAGTATCGGACTTTATGGAGATAGTAGCGGATTTTGTAGAAATAGTATCAGACTTTATGGAAATAGTAGCGGATTTTGCGGAAATAGTATCGGACTTTATGGAGATAGTAGCGGATTTTGCGGAAATAGCATCGGACTTTATGGAGATAGTAGCGAATTCTTGCAGAAAATGTAATACTAGTCACTTTATATTATATATGACTCAATTTGAAACAAACCTTTTCAGGTTGTTGGAGTCATATTCCTACTAATTTTCAAGTCTCGCCTTTTTCTTACACTTGTTATTTACTATACATTTCTAGTTAAAAGATGTGGGTATTTAATAATTGAGCATTATATTCCTTTATATAAATAGGAGTCTATCATACTTTCTTCTGGATTGGAACAACAAATATCGCTACTTCTACTGAACAAGTTTCTAAGAATTGATGCTTTTTCAACTTCTACTTGAGCTGGTTCCAAAGGTTTAAAACCTACTGGTTAACTTCCCTCTAGTTTTTTACCTTATTGTGTAAGTTTCTATTTAAGCAATTCTACATTATTGATATAAATTTCTAGCTAATTACTCTAAATATTTGTTTCTTTAGTTTACTTTCAAAACCGGAAGTATGAACATAATCTGATTCTCAATAACTTTATCTTTTCTATTAAATCTTAGTTAATCTAGGAAGTAGGTAATTGAGTTTCAGTACCATCAATAAGGTTGAAGATTTATCGCTTCAATATCTGAGTCTGATTCAGAAACTCTGTCCAGAATGTCAGATTTGAAGTCTTCATCTAACTCTAATTCATCCAATCCATCAAACAAAAGTCATTCTACTCTTCAGCTCCAGCATCAAGCTTTCACTAGCAATCCTGCAACTCAACCCTCTTCTCAAGATCTTGTTCCTAATTTGGCTCAAGGTAGTGGTCAATCTTCTAGCGGTATGTTCTATTGTTTCATCTTTAGTAATTACTGCATCAGGAAGAACTGTGATTCAATTCTATTGTACCTTCAGATTTGTTCTTACCCCCCATTATATCAATTCCTAATTATTAGTATTCAGGATGAATTGAAGGAAGCATGAATTCTGACACATTTATAGACTCAGCTTCTCAGGCTGTCGAGCCCTTGGAGGAGCAGATTGATTGTCAGAAGAAAACATGGTTGGAGAGGAGGGAACGCAAATTGATCTGAAAGTCTGGGTGTTATCTATTGTGAGCTGGTGCTATCATTGAACTCAATGTATTAAGAATTTACTGGAGGGTTATATTGATTATCTTGGTTTTATTTTGTTAATTTTCTGTCTTTTTTGAATTGTTTTCTTCATTCATTTCGTCTAGGTGGCGGTAGATTCGCATTGCGCTGAAGTAATGATCGTACTCGGGAAAACGTCCTTCTTGAATCGTAACGCCCTCCTCTGCAACAAAATACATCACAATATAACCTAAAACAATAAAAAACTTGCTATCACAATAAATTCGAAAAATTCAGTACAGATGTATGATCCTATATAAACCTTAATTTGGACCTAGCGGCGCGCGCTATTGTGGCAGTTGTCATAGAGGTTTATGGAGAATTGGCCATTCGGGAAGTATGACACGGTAGGAGCCAGGAAAATCACATTTTTTACAACAAAACGACAAAGGAAGTATGATTAACAGAAGAGATAAATTATCTGCGTAGGCAGGAATAGTTGCTTAAATTTAATTGAGTGTACAATTAATTTTTTCTTGGAATAAATTAACTCTTGACTTTGATCGGGCTGGTTGCGTTACCGATGCTCGCGAACGAACGAACGAACGAACGAGCGATCGCATGGCAACGGTCGTCGCTCGACCATTGTTCCTCATTAGCCGTCAAGAAGTGAAAAGTAGCACAACTTCTTACTAGAAAAAAACGACAACGTTTTGATTCAGAAAAATAATCTCAAAATAGAAATTTAATAAAACAGTGGGAGACAGAATTATTTTTTTTTTGGTGGGGCTGTTATTATTGGCAGCGGGCAGCTGTGGGATTGACGAGGTAGGATGGTTGATAAGTAGAGATCGTTTGTTGCCCGCCTAATTCGAGTATTTAATTCCAGTCTGAGTGCGGTACGGTATTAATCACAGTAACTTACAGTACTCATCAAGTGACCAGAATCTGGGATTCCACCGCGCACCATAACAATAGACCTTGAAGTGACTAGGGTAAAAGGTGCGAATAACCTGGTGTCAAGGACTTCCAAGGACCGAAATCCCGCGATGGATTTGAGCATGCTTGATATGGCTGACAATGCGGACAAAAGCCGGGATCGATGGGGATCGGCCTTTCCAGAGTACCGGATCCTATCATGCAGTACGGCATGTAGAATCATTTTGTCAGGACTAACTTTGCATGGTCATTGTGACTGCATTGCGGGATAAGTCAGTACCAGTGCGGAATAATTCTCCCTCGAATCACGACTTTGTAGAAACTCGCTTCGAACCGTCTCTTTTATTTTCTTCTCTCGCATCCGGCTGCCGGGCACGATACTTTCTTCTTCTTCTTAACCTTACAAGAGAGTCTGAGGGGATTAAGGGTGAAGGGTACTGTACTGTACCGGCACTAGGCTCTGAACGAAGGACCCGCCGCACAATCACTTGTGATATCTCCACCATCTCCACCTCGCCTGAGGCTCTACAAAGATCCCCACACCCTTATCACCACCAACAGTCTCTTTCTCCTCACAACATCACTACCTTAGCCAGGGCCTTCCAAGTTCGTCGTTGTGTTCGAGTACGGAGCGCCTCGATCAATTGAAATTCGCTATCTTGGATTGGCGGTATCTGGAGTCGGCCTTCTTTCAGAAGTGAGGCTGTCGGGCTGAAATCCGCTGTCTGAGCGTTGACACAGCCTTTCTCCACATTAACACTCCTGGTACCGATAACAAATACAATTCGAGTGTATTTGTTCACATCGATTCTTCTAACCCTCACAGGCACCGTCCAAATCACAGGAACATTCTATATTCTGCCAGATAGAGTATGTCACCTCCATCCTCGGATCAATTTCCCGTCGACACCGCCTCATCTCCGGCAACCCCGCTCACAAACTCAGATTTTACGGGGCTCGTCACCAAATCGACGACATCCGGCGGGTACCGTGTGTTGACAAACATCATGTCATCTTCGTCTCTATCACTTCCGTCCGATACCGACATGGAACTCAATGATTCAGACCTTCTACAGCGACTACAACAACGACGGAAAGAGTTGGATGCGGAGATCGAGGCATTCGGGGCTCTGAAGGAAAACGAGTACAAGGCGTTCGAGTGGAAGTTGAAGGAGGAGTATAAACTAAGGAAGCGAAAACGAGAAACAGAAAGCGGCAACGATGGCGGACAGATCAGTCATGACAACTATGTTACTGCTACGGACGCATCCCCGCCGTATCCAACCGTCGCAACTACGGCTACACCCGGACACGAGAATGGTGATACATGTTCCACTTGGTCAGGAGTGGAACGTGGGAGCCAGGTCTCGCTTGACGTTGGGGAATCTCAGCTGGATGACGCTCTGAGATTGGGGTTGCCTAGTGCACCGCCCGCGCACCAGCTCGGAAGCCACGAGAACAACTCTCCGCCTTTCGATAAAGACCTCCAGGCTGCTTTCACCCCCCGATATCTTCCTCTACTAGATAGAAACTACCGGAGCCCACCATCGTCGCCCTCTAACAAAATCATGTCGAGCCCCCCGCAGTCACCGAAATCAACTTTTCCGAAGATTGCCACCATACCCGGCCGTTCGGATAACAGCCCGGGATCTCCGGCGGCGCCTCTTGCTTCCTCTCTGAAATCGTCCTCGGGTAGCTCGTTTGGTACCACAGGCAAATCTGCTGGGATTAAACAGAAATCTCCGAAAAGGGTTACTTTTCAATTTGAGGACGAGAGTTCTGTTCCGTCACGCAGCAGTCCCCCACCAGCTAAGGTACACTGGAGCTTAGCAGATGATAAAGACAATGAATACGGCCCGAGAGACGGCGATGAGTTTGTTGGATCTACTGGCGATCAAGAAATGGTAGAGGCAGGGGGGGGGGGACATGGTGGCTCTGGAAAAGTCGAGCAAATTGCGAATGCCGCGAAATCGGCCAACTTAGAAGTGACGCAAGGTGTTGAGTTGGCGGCTCCTACAAGCCACTCCGTGGCATCTGCAGGGTCCGGGGCTTTAGTTGATGATGGTTCATTTGAGGAGGTACAGTTTGGGGACGAAACGAGTGGGAATGGGTCTAGGGGGGTAAACGGAGATCTGGAACGGTCATTTGACATAGAAACCGTGGATGATGATGAGGAAGATTTATTTGATATGGACGAGACTGTGGCGGAAAGAAAGGAGTCGCCACCCCACCGGGACTATGCTGCTCTCCTTTTTACAACCAAACCCCCGTCTCTGCGCTCACCCTTCTCCGGCCAATCCTTCCCCCCACTGCCGTCATTCACACCCATACCGTCTACCATCCCAGCTCCTCCAGTGGACCCATCACTCACATTCGAAAAAGGCCTTGGAATGCGGAGTGGATTCACCGCGGTACGGGGAGGCATAAGTGCCTCTTTCAATCCATCACTCTCACTAGAACCCATAACCTCTCGGACCCGGGTTGGAGAAGAGCCACATACCGCTCCTATAGCCTCATCATTGCCAAACATTGGGTGGGGAGAGACTTCAGACAAAGGCTCGTTTGTACCTACCCCCGGTGGCCGCTTCCGCAGGCGAAGCATCGCCAAATACGACGTGCCAGACGAGGACGATGCACCCAAAGGAAAATCCCACCCAAACATCCCTGAAGAAGACGAACCCCCCCTCGAACTCTTTGGCCGAAGTCCCAACGCTGCCAGCCTCCCAATGGCAATTGCCAGGAACAGCCCCCTCGCAGCCCTATCCGGTTCTACATCCTCCAAATCCCCCACACCATTGCGCAAAGACGCCAGTCCAACAACCGCTCCAGAAGTTCCTGACGAAGCCCCACTCCCCGGCCGCCTCTCGCCAACCCTACCACCACGGGCCACGGGCCCAGCACTAAGCCCGGGCACAGAATCCATAAAACAAGTCTCATCCGCCGACCTCCTAGCAGACATGCCGGCCAGCGAACCACCCTCCTCCCCCGCCGCCAAGAACGATTCAGTATCCTCGTACCGCCTAACCTCACCCTTCCCTTCCGCATCCATCCTCCCAACAACATCTCCTTATAGAACCGCACACGCAGCTGAAGTCGCAGCATCAGCGCTCGACGGCGAATTAGAAAGCGTCGTCGGTGGTGTAGATGGTAGGACAGGCCTGGACCCGGATGTTAGCAGCTTCCAACCCGCAACCGGAACCTCCATCAATCGGAGGAGAAGTGGAAGTGTGATTGCGCCGCAGGAGGTAAGGCCTGAAAGGATGAGTTTGGGCATGAGGATGGCGTTTGAGGAGATGAGAGGGAAGAAGTTGTTTTAGTTGTTGCTTTCTTCCTCTCCTTCCATTTACTTTTACTCCGGTCTTTTCAACTTTTGATGCCTCTCTTTCGGTTTCTACTTGGTATATTCGGTTGGCACTGTGGTTTGTCGATTGGTTGGTTTTGTTGATCTTTTCTTTTGGAGTTGGATGGGGGAAGTGATTTTACTTGCTAGGTGAAAGGGCGGTTGCGGCGAGAGCGAGCGAGCGGGTGCGCATGTATGGGCAAGTGTAGCGAAGTGGGGTGATTGTATGTACCTATTTTTTGCAAAGACCGGGCAGTAGCAAGGGCTCCATCCAGTGTCTAGCCTGGCCTAGCCTAGTCTAGTTTGTTTGTCTGTCTATCGAATGGCCGTGCGCGGTGGTGTTGTGCGATACGTATTATAAAACAAGTAAGCTTGTACTGTACCGTACTGTAAATTGGCCTCCAATCGCGGTGCCATTACATGCAGCGTGCTGGGACCAGTAGGGTAGGCGTTCTCTATTGAATTGCACCGGGTTCGGAAGGGAAGAAAGAAAAGCAGTGTGTCAGTCCTTGCTTATGTTTTGTCCATGGGGTATGCTCTGCACTCGAGTGCTGTACTGGTGCTACCGGTAGACTAGTACTGTACTTATGTGATACCTCATGTGACCACTGTTTGGTTTAGGCTAGTTTTGCGCTGATGCACAGTTCCAGAGCATCGCCTACCAAGTCAATTCTCACCTGCGGAACCTCCAATCCCTCATCTCTATCCATCCCACCCACCCACCTCATCTCCAGTCTTCGCTACCCCACAGCCCAGCACTGCGGTACTGTGCAGTACGGTATTCTCCGTACCACCACCACAATCCCTGCCAATGTATTCCATGGCTATAGTACTGTACAATCATGTGGGTTCCGCTTTAAATTTACCATGTGGTGCTACCGCGGGAACTTTTGCAGGATCGGTACGAGTACTTTTGCCTACGTATTTGGCGGTTGTGCAGTTTAGCAAGTTACAAGTATCAAGTGCGGTTGTATCATAGTGCATATCTTTTTCGGACTTTTGCAACGATGTTCCTTCCATGCTCTGCCACTCCCCGCAGACAGAGAGCAGGTTATATCATAGACGTAGGGCCAAATTTGAGGAAATTGATAGACATGTCGGGATGAATACACCTCTAGGACATAGTCCTGGGTCTATCCCGGAATATCGCTCCAGAAGCACCACGAAAGTGCTTGTTGAAATCGGTATAGTATCGTATTTTGGGGATAGTTCTGCTTTGTAGAATATGGTGTTGGCTAGGGGAGTGGTTTGGGCTTGGGGGGGGTTTTTTTTTTTTAACTTGCTATGAACGTGAGTGAATGGTACAGTAAGTACCAGTATCCATTAATTACTGTAGAGTATGATACTTTCCGGGGCGGACCAAGTGTGGCGGAAGTTTCCGAAATTATCTTATCACTGAACAAATCTCTCGTGATGTTGTTAGAATAACACCGGGGAGGGCTGCCCTCTTGGGTGAAGCTTGTCGTTTTGCCATTCCTGTCTGGACTTTGGATAGACTATGGCTTTAGGGGAAAAGTACGAGTACAGTACTGTACTCGTACGCATAGTATCGCTTATCGCCGCACTGTCCGCACAGCATCCCAACACTCCGGGTTAGTCTGGGATGTCATGGAGAGGTAAGGGATGCAATACGGAGTAAGTACTTGTACGAGTACTCGTCCCCAAGAGCCGCTAAACAGGATCTAATTCAGCGCTTGGCACACGTGGGGGGACTTGTAAACTATCCTCCGAGGGGATAGGCAGAAATACGTGGGCAAGGGGTCATGTTACTTTACTTTATACTTTGGTTCCATGAGAATCCGGCGATTCGCTATACCCCAACAAAACTAATGAGGGGGTGATGTCCGGCAAGAGAAAAGAAGGAGCATGGCCTCAAGAAGGAGGGAAAAAATATACAACATATTAGTGCCAACTTTCTGTCCGCAGGCTGTCCTTGTTCCCGGTGCCTGAGGGATAAGAGGAAAATCAATGCTCTATGGAAAAGCGTGTATTAGACTACCCGCGGGAGAGATGTTGGAGGAGTTTTGTATCGCTAGGATTGATGGCTGAAGGTGGTCGGGTGCATGGAGTAGTGACCAATATGAAAGGAAATCGTTCAATTCGAGAGGGGTGAAAAAGTAATTTAGGCTCTCACAGTATCTTTAAGAAACAAATATCTAGTAGTTAGTCTCTGCTCACCGACACCCAATTCCCTTAAGCTTAGAGGGACACCCTAAAATGTAACATCAGTAGAGATACTCGCTCACTTTGGTGAAGCTTTTTGCCCCACTACCTTTGACGATCAGTTAATCTACCCTTTCAATGATTTCAATAGCGTGGGCCTAAGTAGTTGAGGCCATATATGTGTCGGTATTCATGTTTCCTGTTAATTGATCCCAAATGTTAGCTATTAGGCAGTGATATAATAATAATATGAGTAAACCTGAAGGTATACTAGAATGAGAACATAGACTGCTTCAATATAATGAGAACTTGAGAGAGAAAAGAAACACTGGCATATCATCTATAAAATAATTATCTTAACAGGTTATTATAATAACAAGACATGGACTACTCTTATAAGAAAAAACATGAGTTATACCATTAGAAGCGAAAATTTAATGCTGAAGATAAGGTATAGAGGAATTTAGACTTGAGGGATTAGATGAGTCAGAGTTACATGAGGGCTTTAAATCTTAGTATATTAATATAATGGCTGGATAAGGAGTGAGATTGAATATTTAGGTTCTAAACCTTATTGTATATTAATGGTACTCATATTTTTCTACTAAGATTTACTAAAAATTGACAGAGAATAGGAATGATTTAGAAACAGATTATAGTCATATCTCTGAATTCAAATTAAGGGCTAATCTAACAGATAGTTAGAGAAATTAGTCAGAAAGATAGGTTGGTAAAGAAGAATTGTTTAGACTTAAACTTATGTGGCTAGATGAAAAATTAAAAGATTGTCAAACTAGAAATCTCAACACTTTGTTGCTAGCCATAACAGAAATAGGAGAAGAGTTTATTCTTTGAAACTTGCTTGATATGAGTATCAATTTTTTGTAATTTCTATTTAAAACTATTAAGGAAAATATACTAGACTTATATTTATATATATAGCATTGTATTATCAAATAACAACTCTCTTAACTTTTAATATAGAAGAAATAATAAGAATCAGAAAAAAGTGATACCAGATGATAGTACCAATTTTGTATGATGGGAAAGTATAATAGCAGAATGCATCATACTATAAAAACTACAACTTGGGTCCAGATTCGATAGTACTATACTTCTACAGCTTATCAAAATTACGGTAAGCTTAGGACTCGATCTGATA